TGACCCTGCACCCAGCGGGCGAGGGTCCCCAGTCTTGGTACCCCCGAGTGAGGCCTGACCCCGTAACCAGTGGGCGAGGGCCCCCAGTCTCGGTGCCCCTCCAGTGAGCCCTGACCCTGTGCCCAGTGAGCGAGGGTCCTGGTATGGGGCATCCCCCGGGGCCAGCACCGAGCCTCCCGCCATATTCTCTGAAATCAGTGTTTGTAGCCCGGCTTGTGGAGGCCACAGCTGAGGCTTGCAGGGTGAATGAAGGTCACGGCCCATGAGCGAGCAGCGGGGATCCAGCCCCTCATGTTCTACTCACGCCACCACTGCCTCACTGTCAGTCCCTTGAAGAATGTTCTAGCCTGAGTGGCCTCAGCTACTCAAGAAGGGAACCTGGGAACCTGCCTTTGGGCTTTCCTGGGAGGCCGAGAGTCCAGTGGGAGGAACCGAGACCCCTGCCCCAGGGGAGGGGTCTCAAGTGCAGTGTTTCCTTTAAATCACCAGACACATTTCCCGTAGCCCCTGACGTTGGGCCTGGGCTTGTAACCGCCCAAAGCAAGGTGACTTCTGGTCACGGACTTAGCTCCGTGGCCCTGGACAAGACACTTAGCCCCCAGACCTCTTGGTTCCTTCGTGAACACCTCAGATTCGCCCTGAGCAGAGCAGAAGCATGGGCTCCTGCCCTCCCTCGCTGCAGACCCCTTGCCTCCACTAATGCGTCCTGAGAGCAGAGCCGGCGTTACTGGAACGTTTAAGAGTGTGCGTGGCGTGACGAGGTGCCTGCCACCTGCCGTGGCCGTGGATGCGTCCCTGACCGTCTCCTCCCCCGCAGGCTGGCATGATCATTGACAACGGGGTCAAAACTACGGAGGCCTCTGCCAAGGACAAGCGGCCCTTCCTGTCCATCATCTCTGCCAGGTAGACGACCCATGGGGACGCACACTCTCCCTGCTGACCTCTTGACCCAGCCCCGTCCTCTCCACTCATTCGTTCGTTCGTCCGTTCGTTCGCTCACTCACTCATCAGTGTCTGGTGAGCACTTTCTACGTCCTGGACCGCGAGCTAGCTGCTGGGGGTCCGATGCTGAAAGCCCGAGCGGGGCAAAGACTGAATTAGGGTTTATGCTACAGCAGCCGAAGGGAAACAGAAATTTCTAGAGGTTCCCGAATCCCTCAGCAAAGCCAGTACCCGCACGGTCAGTAGGACTGGGTTGGGCCGAGGTCTAAAGGGACGTGCGGGTTGTGCCCACAAAGCAATCCAGAACAATCCAGAGCTCAGCCGAAGGCCAGCGGCTGCTTTCCACGGGTGCCATCGACACCTCAAGGGTATTAGAAACACCAGCGCCCTTTAGAGACCGAGGCGTCGGTCTGCTTCGGAAGTGGGTGGCGCTAGGGTCCGTGATAACGCCGACGGGTGGCTTTTGCTGGTCCGGACACACTGAGCAGCTGGGCTCCGTGCCCCGTTTTGTAGCCAACGAGCTAGATTCCGGAAGAGGCTTTAGGTCAAGGGCCCCCCAGGTTACCAGGCGGCTGGGCAGCTCACTCTCCTTCCAGGGGCCATACCGCACGCCGGGGTGGGGCCCGGCCAGTTTGCGCTGTGCCTTGACCACCCCCCCCCCCCCGGGCGGGGTGGGATGGGGGCTCCTCGGTGCCCACGGACAAGAGCAGTGGCCTGTCTGTAGCCTGCGTGGGGCTGGGGCCCTGGAGGAAGGACTCCTTGCTTCTGTGTGTGCGGAGAGAAGCTCTCGGCCCAGAAGGGGGTCGGCTGAGGTGTCCCCCTGACACGGCCACCTGTGCCCTCCCCGTGGCGTGCTCCAGGTACAGCCCTCACCAGGATGCCGACCCGCTGAAGCCCCGGGAGCCGGCCATCATCAAACACTTCACGGCCTACAAGAACCAGGACCACGGGGCCTGGCTGCGCGGCGGGGATGTGTGGCTGGACAGCTGCCGGTGAGGACCGGGCATGGGGTCCTGACATGAGGACGGGGTGGGGGGGTGCCTCCCCCGCATGGGGGAGGGGAGAGCGGGGCAGGGAGGAAATAGGCACACAGACATCGGCTTTCTGGTCAGTCCCCAGCCAGGCAGAGGCAGCGACCCCCCCCCACCCCCGAGCCCCCTGAAAACAGCACATGCCGGGTGCTGGGGGTCGTACCTGCCACGGGGTGAGGCTCTCTCGGGCCACGGAGCCAGTCGTCGGAAGGAGGGAAGGAAGTTCCCAGCATGTCCTGGGCACCTGCTGCGTGCAGAATCCTCGTTTGCCTTCTTTCCTCACTGTGCTTCTCAAAGATGCAAATTATCTCCATTTTTAGAGATGGTCAACTGAGGCTGAGCTCAGTGACTTTCCCGGGAGGTCACACAACTAGGAAGCGGTTGGACCGGGGCTTGAAATTTCAACTCCTGGGACACCAAAGCAGGGCCACAGCACAATTGTGACACTGGGTCCCGCCCTTCCCGGGCCCCCGGGGCCCCGGGGCCGGCGCCTGCCTGCCTTCCCGGGAGACGTGGCGCCAGCTGTCCCTCTGTCCTTCCCGCTGTGGCTGAAATGGGAGTGGGCGTGGCTAAGGGGAGTGCAACCCGCCCGCACGTACCCCGCCGTCACCCGGGGCCGGCCCGAGAGTGGGGAGGTCCTTCACGACCCCCTGATTCAACCTCCCACGAGCCCTGGAGTCCGCAGCGTGGGGGCAATGCTGGAGGCCACTGTCCGCGAGCAGACGTCGAGCGGGAGGCGAGCTTGCCGCGCAGGGTGGGAGAGCCCGCAGCCCCTTCCCCACACAGTATCCACATGTGACGCCAGGGACAGGGAAGCGTCCCGCCCTCCGCCACGTCCCTGGCCGTGGCGCGAGGGCAGGCTCTGACCGTCCGCTCTCGTCCCCAGGTTCGCTGATAATGGCATCGGCCTGACCCTGGCCAGGTAAGAGCAGCTGTCCTCGTGCCGAGCCCTGTGTGGGAAGCCGGCTGTGGACGGCTCATTCCAGACGCCTCCTCCCCACAGCGGCGGGACCTTCCCGTATGATGATGGCTCCAAGCAGGAGATCAAGAACAGCCTGTTCGTCGGCGAGAGTGGCAACGTGGGGACGGAGATGATGGACAACAGGATCTGGGGCCCCGGTGGCCTGGACCACAGCGGGAGGACCCTCCCTATAGGCCAGTAGGTTTGCAGCCACGGAGGCTTCCTCGTCCTGCGTGCCTTAAGCCGAGTGGCAGCCACAGACGGAATGATGCTCGTGGGAGAGCTCCGCCTGTCGACTGTGAACCCCCCTGTCAGTTACCAGAGAAGTCACTGAAACAAGGGAGGTTGGCCGGCGGTGGGGTGAGGTCTAGAGCGGGAGAGAGAAATCAAGCGTTCAGTGTCGAATGGCAGGCGGCAGGGGGACCTGATGGTCCAGATGCACGGGGTGGTTCCGGGGCTACGGTGTCTGGGGTCAGCGGCCGCGGGTTCCTCTGATAGCACCCTACTCGGAGCATTGCACCCACTTCTGGGGACGGGGGAGAGAGATGGGCCAAAGCACGCTTGGAGGACGGTACCCAGGAAGGTGACAGAGCCCAGCGATGTGTCACACGCAGACTGGGAACTCCGGTCAGGAGTTCAGGGGTCAGACGAGGGGGACCAGCACGGGAGGCGACGTCACACATGGTCGGGGCTTCCAGATGCTTACAAGACGGAACTCATTCCCCATGGGCCCCACGGTTAGAAGGAGTTTAGTGCGGGACGAACTGTCTGACGGCCAGGCCTGTTCATCAGCAGAAACGTAGGGCTGTCCTGAGGGGTCCCGGGCTCTCTGTTGCAGAACGTGTTTCAGGCAAAGCGGGGGGAGGCTGGCCAGGTGGCTGGAGGAGGGGGGACCGGGAGAGCTGGCCAGCTCACGGAGCAGAGGGGCTCGGTCAGTTCCCGGGGGAGCCTCAGCTGGGTCGGTGTGAGGACGTCTGTCCCCCATCTGATGGTGATTCTGCTCAGACGTGAACCCAAACCCGATGGCCAGGCTCTGAGCCGGGCAGACGTGCGGGGGTCTGCTCCCCGAGGGCCGAGAGCCCTCCTGCCCCCAGAGCTTCCCCCCCGGCCTTTCTCCGGAGAAATATAATCCCTGCCTCTGTGGGCAGGACACGGGCCTGGAGCTCCCACCCCGGTGGACGTGCGCCTTTGCAAAGATCCTGCGGACAGAACCACGGCCTCCTTTGGCGCAAGTGGTCTGGAAGCCCTGGTCTCCGTCTGGTCGCAGCGATAGACCAGCCCCTTCGGGTGGTGTTTATGAGTAACTCTGGATCTGCGTACTTGGGCGTTTTTTTGCTGAGAGTTACCAGCCCTCCGGGGCCGGAATGTTCTGATGACTTTCAGGGCTGAGTTTATTTATGGAGGCCCGACAGTTCTGCCGAACCGGGCAAGTCCCTCACGTGGCGTTTGTGAGCAGGGACCGTGTCCTCCTGGTCACGAGGGATTCGTCCGCAATGGTCCTTGGCTGGGCTTAGATGAAAAGTAAGCATACGCTTTGCATACACAGCCAGTAAGAGTGGCTGGTTCCCAAGATGCCTTAACTTAAACAGTGCCCGGAGGCACCCCCTGAGAACCAGGATCCAAGGCGCCAGCGCGAATCGACTGCTTTCAAAGATGCGGAAATGCAGGAAGTCCTTGGTGTCGACTGAAGCCACACACCAAGGCTGGTGTGATCTGGGCTTTCCCGGGGGACCTGCGTGTGGGGAGGGGAGCCCCAGGTAGAGGACGGGGGGCTGTGGTGTATCCTCCCAGGGACAGACCCTTCTCTAGGCTTCTTTCCCTCTTTCTGCCCTCCCTCCTTCATGCCAGCTGTGGGAGGAGGGGACCTGGCCCAGAAGCACAAATACCAGCAGAACCATGCACATTGGGCTTCCAGAACAAACAAGCCTAGGTTCAGGGTCACCGAGAAGCCCAGCTGGCCCTTGCCAGGCCCGCGCAGGAGTCCGAGAGCAGAGGAGAGGAGTCTCTGAGTCCCCGCCCTCTGCTGAGCCAAGTTGCCCGTTCTCCGGTCCTTTCTACCTCCGCCTCCCATCCTCTCCCTGACTCCTGGAGATCGGAGCCTTCTTGGGGTCCTTTGACAGCCCACAGTCTTGTCTCCCCAGTGGGGCCTGCCGCTCCTGTAGGGTTACGTGCCTTGAAAGGTCACGTGCGTTGTCTCGCTACAGCATCATCACCTTCCGTTCTGTCTTCCCCCTTGCCTGTTTTCCAGACCCAACAGATTCACAATTGAAAGGCTTACTCAGAGGAAACCCATTTGGGTCTTAATCTGATTAAATGGTTATGGCAACTGAGACTAAATAATGACTAATGGCTCTAGTCTCCCAAGGGACACAATACTGGCATTCTACAGTGTATTTATGGTATTTACCCAATGACTCTTAACAGGATGGAAAAACCGGGGCAAGTGTTTGAATAGAGGATGATTCCCCAGCCCCCAAGCCAGCAACTAAACACATATCCATCCATCCATTCCTCCATCTATCCTTCCATACATCCATCCACCCACCCTTCCTTTCTTCCTACCATCCACCCACCCATCCATCCACCCACCCATCCATTCTTCCTTCTTTCCTTCCTTCCTTTTCTTTCCTTCCATCCATCCATCCTCCCTTCTCTTTCCTTTCATCCATCCACCCACCCTTCCTACAATCTACCCACCCACCCACCCATCCATTCTTCCTTCTTTCCTTCCTTCCTTTCATCCATCCACCCATCCTTCCTTCCTTCCATCCACCCATCCATCCATCCAAGTCATCTAGCAATCATTTATTGACATTTACTGTGTCTATAAATACTTTCTCATGAACTGATGAATGAATCAATAATGCCCTGCAGCGAGGAGTGGCAGGAGGTGGGGATCAGGACGGTTTACCCAGAAAGTCTCTGTTTCCATCACCTTGAAGGGTGCAAACAACTCGGTGGCATAACGTGGCGAACAGGCTGACCTCTCACTTCCTTAACTCTGTAGGAATTTTCCGATCCGAGGAATTCAGTTCTATGACGGCCCCATCAACATCCAGAACTGCACCTTCCGCAAGTTTGTGGCCCTGGAGGGCCGGCACACCAGTGCCCTGGCCTTCCGGCTGAACAACGCCTGGCAGAGCTGCCCCCATAACAACGTGACCAACATTGCCTTTGAGGATGTCCCGGTGAGTGAGGTGCTGGGGCAGGCTCTGGGCAAATCCAGACTTTGGGCAGTGATTCACAAGTCCCCCGGGGCTGGAGTTTGAGCCGTTGCCACCACCGCAGGGAGCGAACGACTTCCTCCAAGCAGGCTGGGCCGCGCCCCAGCCCGTCTGCATCCAAGCTGGAAAAGTACAAGTGTAGGTTGCCCTACAGGTCAGGTCTGGCTGCGTCCCACTTGCCCTCCCCCTGCCCCGAACCCCCCAGAGCCTCAGCACAGCCTCCCTCCAGACGCAAGGTCCTGAGGCTGTTCCTCCACAGGCCTCGGTTTTGACTATGGAGTCTTGTGACAGGGTCACCTGGGTTGGTCAGTTAATCTCCAATCCCAGGGTTTCCAAGGCGCTCATGTCTCTCTGAGAGGGCACCACAAATGGGGTCTTCCTGGGCACAGACAGGTGCCAATGAAGAGCTGGGGGTGAGGAGGGCGGGACGGAGGGTGGCACTTTGAGGCTGGGAGGGACCTGGGATGCTTTGTCTGGGCTCTGGATCCCCCAGAACTTTCTTCCTTCTCCTCCCCTCTCACCGAGGCCTGGGAGAGGTCAGTCACAGAGCCCGCCACGGGCTCGTGTCGACAGACTGTCCTCCTCAAACAGGTGCACACACCCCCCTCTTAGACACACAGCACACGGTCCTCTCTCACACGTTGCCCCACGTGTGTGTGCTTTTCTCATGCACACACCTCTCTCCCCCTCTCACACTTGTGCACGCGCGCACACACACACACTCCTGTGCCCCCTCCTCTCTGCAGGCTTTGAGCCCGCACCTCAGAGCCCTCTCCAGGGTCACCCGCAGCAGCCGGGCCTCGTGTGAGCAGAGGCCAAACGAATGCGTTGGGTCCGAAGTGGAGGCCAGTGAGCGGGCTGCAGTCTCCCTTCACCTCTGGCCCAGCCTCACTTCCCGGGGCTCTGTTTAGATTACTTCCAGAGTGTTCTTCGGAGAGCCGGGGCCCTGGTTCAACCAGCTGGACATGGATGGGGATAAGACGTCCGTGTTCCATGATGTCGACGGCTCTGTGTCCGAGTACCCAGGGTCCTACCTCACCAAGGACGACAACTGGCTGGTCCGGCACCCAGACTGCATCAACGTCCCCGACTGGAGAGGGGCCATCTGCAGCGGGCGCTACGCACAGGTGGGGAAGCAAGGGCACCCCTGGTGTCACCAGCCCCTCAGCAGGAGCGAGCGCCTGCTGTATGCCCTTTCAAAAAATCAAAGTGAAAACCGTGTTGTAGGCAGAAAGCAGGATGCCTAGGAGGAGGGCACTGGGAGGTCACTCGGATTCAAGTCAGGCCCCAGTGCCTGGAGTCAGTGCAAAGACGCGGACACATGTGGAACCAGACCCGTGGGTGACTGCTGGAGCCTCAGTGTCCTCATCTGTGAAATCAGGATAACAGTCGAACCTCCTTCTGAGATGGCGGGCCCGAGGTTCATATGACGGATGCAAAGTGCGTCGCCGGCCCCATCCGCCGGAAATGTAACGCAAACCAGCCCCGTGGTCCTAAGTTTTCCAGAGGCCCTGTGAGAAAGAAAAAAGAAACAGGAAATTAATCGTAATAATATATTTTAACTTAGCGTACTCAAAATCCTATCATCTCAACACGCAACGGATTTATAAAAATCGTTAGTGAGGTACTTTTCCTGGATGTAATTTTTCCTCCTCTAAGTCTTCGAAATCCACGACACGGTTTCCACTTTGAGCCCGCTCAGTTTGGATGCAGATTTTCGACGAAGTGAAAGCTAGTCCTACCTCCCCAAAAGGATAAAGTCACGCGCAGGGGGAAAATATTTTACACTGCTTTGGGTTTGAGGGTTAAATTAATCAAAATTTAAAACCCAGGTGGGTCCTCAGCCCACACCGGCCACGTTTCCGGGGCTCGGGGGCCACATGTGGCCAACGGCCGTCGTGGGGAACAGCACCCGGGGCGCGACGGAGCCGAAAATACCAGCTAGCTATTACGATGCTGGCGTTAGCTGTGATTGGTTGATGGTGAATAAACGAGCAAGAGGGAAGATAGCCAGGAAAACGCAGCATTTAAGTAGCAGGGGAGTCCCGGGGCCGGCAGGGGACGTGTACGAAGAAGCTGTCCTCGCGACTACCATATAGGCGGACACTGTGGACGTCAGGACTGGAGGGTAGGGGAGAAAGGAGCCGGAAGGTGGCCTGGGGTCCGGGAGAGGCGGGAGAGCGAGCTGGTGCCAGAGAGGGGAAGGGGCCACAGGGCCAGGCGGGCACAGGGAGGCGAGGGTGCTGGCGAAACCAGGCCTGGATCTTCCCCCGCACCCTGTCTCTCCCACACGCGGCTTGCCTTGTGTGCAAAAGCTCTGTCAGCACCTGCCCGGTTCTCCTGAGCGGCTACTGCTTAATTATTACTCATAATCTCCCCCCTTCCCTTTACAGCTTTCGCCGTGCCGTAACATACCCTTCGAGCTTTCGTTCTCGGGACGGCCCCGTGCCACGGGCAGCCGAAGCTCCTCTTTCCGTCCCACAGGCAGTACTGGGGAGACCACCCCTCCCTCCCGCGTGCCCAGTTTTGCGCTGCTGTGCTGGCCACGGCCATGGTGGTGTCACCTGCACAGGGGCCGTGCCACAGGGCAGGACGCCAAGATTTCCACCGAGGCGGGCCCAAAACAACGCGGCTCTTGGGTCCCTGGGACCCGAGAGCTCGTAGTCTTGCTTTCAGGGACTTCTCTGTAGCAGGACAGCACTCCTTCGTGCAGGGCGTAGTGACACGGGGCCTGGCCACGGGGGCCAGACCTCGGGAGGCAGAGAAGGAGCGTGCCCAAAGCTGCCTCCCAGACGCAGGCAGGACAGCCGCGGGGGCGAGGGGGCTGCGTGCACAGGATTAGCCAGTTCGCTCTCCCCCCTCCTGCACGTCCCCTCCCTTCCCCGGAGTCCGCCATCTGACTGTCAGGCAGACTCCTCCCGTGTTTCCACCACTGTGTCCCGGACAGAGCCCTTTGTTGAGAAGGTGTCCGCGGGATCGCGCAGAACGGCGATGGCCGCACCCCCAGCCGTCCATTCACGCATCCTTAAAAGGGCTCCTCGAGAACGTTCCTTTGAAAGCGGGGCCCGTTGTCAGATGTTAACCAGACGCTCTGGAATAATCCCTTGTAACTGTCCTGTCGTGTTTCCTTTTTGGGTCCTAAAAGATGTACATTCAGGCCTACAAGACCAGCAACCTACGGATGAAGATCATCAAGAACGACTTCCCCAGCCGCCCCCTCCACCTGGAGGGGGCCCTGACCCGGAGCACGCATTACCAGCAGTACCAGCCGGTGGTCGCCCTGCAGAAGGGCTACACCGTGCACTGGGACCAGCCGGCGCCCGCCGAGCTGGCCATCTGGCTCATCAACTTCAACAAGTAAGTGGGCGCAGCCGCTCCGACGGAGCCCCAGGCAGCGGTGGTGACCCCTCGGGACCGCAGGCCGGCCCACGTCACCCCTGCAGAGGGGCCGAGGGCACCCAGTAGTCCAGAATCCGAGCCCCGGGTGGAGCCCCCCTGCCCCGGGTGCAGCCGGGCTCAGGCAGAAGCCTGGCTCCGCGGGCCTCCCTACGCCCCACGTGGGAGCGGGGGCCAGCGTCCCCTCGAGGTGCAACACGACAGCATTCCCGCCCGGATCTGGCCTCCGGCGTCGGTGTTCGGGTGCTGTCTGTGCCTGTCACTTGTCACGTGCTCCTGGGACACGGACGCCAAGCAGATGTGGAAAATGACACCGAAAGAGATGAAATGAGCCCTGAGACCGGGCTGGACCAGGAGGGGCTGAGCTGCAGGGCAGCACCCTGGCCCAGGCCCGGGCAGTGCCCAGGGAGCCCCTCGCCCTGCCAGCCACGCTCCCCGCCCCCAACACTTGGCAGCCGGATGGTTACGCAACCCCCCCCAGCAGAAATGGAGGTGCCATCTGGGGGAGAATTCTCTGGTCTCTCTCCAGGCGGGCCCCAGACTCTCTGAGGCCCGGACGCCCTTGCTTGTGGCCTGACCCCCCCCCCGCCCCCGCCTCTAGGGGCGACTGGATCCGAGTGGGGTTCTGCTACCCCCGCGGCACGTCCTTCTCCATTCTCTCCGACGTGCACAACCGCCTGCTGAAGCAGACATCCAAGACGGGCACCTTCGTGCGGACCCTCCAGATGGACAAGGTGGAACAGAGCTTTACGGGCAGGGGCCACTACTACTGGGACGAGGACTCAGGGTGAGGACCCCCGCCGCGGCAGGGCGGCTCGGCCCCGGGGCCGTGCCCCTGGCCCTCCCAGCAGGCCAACCCCCACCGGGTTACCTGCCGTTGACGGAGAACGCTTTCCCAGGGGCTTCGACTCAGGGGCCGAACTCAGGTTCCATCCGCCAGTGACATTTTCCAAGCTGCTAAGCTGGGGGTAAACATTCCGTGAATAGACGCGGGGATGGGAGGAAATAGGCCCATTTCAGGCAAAAAGCAAAAGCAGCTTTTCCTTAGAACGGAGGAGACCCGGTCCATTCCCTCGGGTCCTCCCAAGCCAGGGGGAGCAGATGACATCATCCCTCGTCCAGAAGGGGACAAAGAAGGGACAGAGGAAATAGCGGGGTCCTGCCCCGAGGCCACGGCACAACCTTGGCACGGCTCGTTTCGAACCCGGGCCCACCTCTCCCCAGAGCCGTCACTCACCCTTTGCTGGATGGCACTAGGCACTGCTCAGTGGAGGGATAACAGGGATAGAGTGTCTGTGGAGAATAGAGAGCTGTCTGGTCCCCTCCCTGAAAAAGAGAGTAAGTCCAACACCTCCGGAATGCCAACAATGTCCGAGCGGTGAGGCCGCTTAGAGCCATTCCCCTGGGGAGTGACCGTAAAGGATCCCGTGATGGCCGTGTTCCCTCTTGGTTGCAATCAGCGATAAGGAAATACCTAGCAGGGGCACACTCTCTCTCTTTCAGACACGGTTTTATCAATTTGATGAGAGAAAAATTAGAATTTGAAAATCAGAGGCATTAGTAAAATGCTAGGTTTGGGGGGAAATAAATAGCACCCGATTTTCACATAAATTCTAAACCACTCGTGGGGCAGACAAGGCCACAGGTGAAGAGGGAACAGAGACTTAGGCTGATGGAACCGTTGGAGGACAGCGCCAACCGCCAAAGTCCCCAGGTGTGCCTGCCGGCCCCAGGAGGCACCGCGTAATCGCGGACGCCCCCCAGCCACCCCCCAAGACTCAGGGTACGGAGGGGCGGACCGGGGAGCCCAGCCTCTGCAGGCCGACCTCCACACCCACCGTCAGTGCCTGGTGGTGATTAGGCTGTGCTTTAATTTGGTGACACCCTTGGAGGCTGCGAGCTGGGTTACAGGACCCAAAGCACTGGGCTTTCCCAATACCTGGGGCCCCTCTGAAGTCTCGATCGGCCCCTCTGCGCGTCCAGGTGCTTCCCTGGCACGACCGGCTGTGCGGCAGTGGGTGGAGGTCGTGGCATCATGGCGCGAACCCAGCTCGCCGGGCCGTCTGGGCGCAGGCGGTTCCCAGAGAGGGGTCGGCACGGGAACAGCCTTTCGAATGCTGCAGGCGTGGGAGTCAGCCTGGAAGGTTGTTTCTGAGCAGGAGGAACGGTGACAAGTCCTAAGTTAGTGCCTCGGTTTCGTCGGCCGACCCCCTGCACCACCCCCGCGGCGTCCAGTCCTGTCCAACAAGCAGGGAAAAGATGGCAGTTTCGAGAAAAGTATAGTGAGGAAGGCTCGCCTCACCAGGCACAGTGACGGGGTGGCCCGACTCTGTGACCGTCCTCCCATGTGGTCCCGGGTCAGTCAGCTGCTCGGAGTCCGAGAAAGCAGGGCAGTGACGGCACCTACTGGACGGGACCGTCTGAGGGTTAAGCGAGATGGCGTGTCCACTCACGGCCTGCGCGGAGCGTGGCATAGGGCACGTGCCCAGAAAACGGTCCCCGTTGGCGTTGCGAGCTTTGACGCCCGGGTGCTCGTTTCTCTCTCGGACCGCATGTGACCCCGTGGCAGACACGGCCTGGTGGCCATCTCGTAAGGCCCGTGGGTCTCACCGCGGGGCTTGGGAGGTGATGTGAAGACAGAGCGGGAGGAGGGTGGCGAACGCCTGAGCGAGCCCGGCCGTGGCCCCCGCACGCAGGCTGTTGTTCCTGAAGCTGAGAGCCCAGAACGAGAGGGAGAGGTTTGCCTTCTGCTCCGTGAGAGGCTGCGAGCGAATCAGGATCAAGGCCCTGATCCCCAAGAACGCGGGCGTCAGCGACTGCACGGCCACCGCCTACCCCAGGTTCGCCGAGAGAGCTGTGGTGGACGTGCCGATGCCCAGGAAGCTCCGTGGTGCCCAGCTGGTGAGCGGCCGTCACGTTAGGGCCCTTTCCGGACACCCGCTCGGCACACCCCCGTCCCATCCTGGGGTGGCCGGGGGTGCGGGGAGGCGGCTGCCCCCGTCAGGCCGTGCCCGTGGCGCCCCCAACCCAGCCAGGGCAGCCGGTCTTACTTGCTTTCCAGAAGACAAAGGACCGCTTCCTGGAGGTGAAGATGGAGAGTTCCAGGCAGCGTTTCTTTCACCTCCTGAGCGACGTGGCTTACATTGAAGTGAGTGGTTCCGGCCCCTGCAGGGGCGCTGCTTGGCCGCAGGGGGAGGCGGTGTTATGTCCCGGGGCTGTTGTCACCGATGACCACAGGCCAGGGTTGCCCGCCACAAAAGAAACTTGTTCTCTGGCCATCCTGGAGGATGGAAGTCTCAAATCGGGGGCTCAGCAGGGCCAGGTCCCCCTAGAGGGTCTGAGACCGTCTGCCCGAGGCCTCCGCTGACGTCCCCCGGGTTGTGGACGTGCCCCCCCCCCCCCCCCCCCCCCCCCCGCCCCCAGCATCTGCCTCTGTCCTCGCACGGCCTTCACCCTGGGTGTCTGGGCCCCACACCCCCTTCCTTCCTCCTACGAGGACACCCATCGCCGGATTTAGGACGGGCCCTAAATCCAGGATGACCTCATCTCAAGATCCTTAACTTAATTGCATCCGCGCAGACCTTCCAGCCAAGTAAGGTCCCTTTCCCAGCGCCCACCCACACAGAGGGCCCCGGAGAGCCGCTCGGAGAGGGTTTTGTGCTCTGAGCGGCTGCACGGACCGCCCGGCTTCAGGGTCCACGTGGGCGCCCCGAGCCCGCTCCCAGCGGTGCTGCTTTGGGCCTGCAGGTGGACGGGACGAGGTACCCCAGCTCCGAGGACGGCATCCAGATGGTGGCGATCGACGGCAGCCGCGGGCACGTGGTGAGCCACACGAGCTTCAGCAGCACCATGCTGCAGGGCGTCCCGTGGCAGCTGTTCAGTCACGTGGCGGCCATCCCCGACAAGTGAGTCTGCGCGCGTCCCCCTCACCCCATCGCGTCCGGTCTAGGGGCGCCGAGGGCGCGTTCGAGGTCTGCCTGCACCTCTGACGACCTAAAGGGTGCGGGGCGGAGAATGTAGGTCAGGCCGAGGCGGCCGGGCTGCCCACTTACAAGTGGGAAGCCTGGCCCTGGCCTCGTTCCCCGGCCACGACACGCTTTCCCAGCATGACCTCACCCCGCCCACGCTTTCGATGCGATCCAAGTGCCGGTGGCTCTTAAGTTCTCTGGCCCACACCTCTCCCGGCACCGCCACGTCTGACAGGCTACAAGTCTCCCGTGGAACCCAACCTCGCCCTTGGCCGTCGCCTCCCAGCCCGGCCCCTCCTCCCGTTCACTGTGTTTCGGTTCATGGGCCTGAACCCTGCAGACGGCTGGACCACGGTCTGGGCGTCCTGTGTGACTCCCCCCGTCCCTTCCTCCTCTGTGACCGGGTCCCGGCCCCCCACCTGCCCGCTCGCCCTCCGGCCGGGCCTGTCTATGGCTGCAAAGCAGGCCCTCCGGCTCAACCTCCTGACGGGCCAGGCCTCTGCCACCCCAGCCTGACCCGGCCTCCCTGCCAGCTGCTGGCTTGAATTCCCCCCAGCACCTCCTGTGCCCTTTCCTAGAAATCCCTGGTAACTCCAGGCACCTTCCCAATCTAACGCGCACCTCTTTGGTGAGGTCTCTTCCAATGCAACCACAAAGTTCTGTCTCTACTAACACGAGTCTCAGCAGCCCCGGGGACGCGGCCGTTCCCGGGCGAGGGCCCGCACTTCCTCGCGTCAGGGCCACATCTAACTTGGTTTTGTGTTTCTCGCTAAAGGAGGGGTAGAACTCGCTCTCAGGGGCCACGACCTGGCACGGTGGGAAGTCCGGGTGGCTTGTCGGGGCGGCCTCTGCCCTGCCACCATACCCCGTGCTGACGAGTGTAGGCGTTCACAGGCCGTGACAGTCCCATACGGGGCAGACAGGGACACCTCTGAGCATGCAGGCTTCTGGCCCCATCAGGATGCTGTGACGCACGAGGAGCCCCGTCTGCGTCCCGCTCCTGGGAACTAGCCCAGAGCCCAGTCTAGAGGGCACGACCTTTGTCTGGGTTCCCCTGAGCGGCGAGGCTTAGCTGTGCCAAAGGGACGTGAGCTTTTCCTCTGAACTGGAACGATGACGAAATGGCCTCCTGGGAATGGCGCCCGAGCCCAGTGCCAAGAACAAGTGTGCGATGCTCCCTCTCTCTGCTGGCTTCACCTTGCCGTCCCCTGGGGCCTCGTCCCCAGGCAGCCCCAGCTCCCCTCCCTGTCCCTAGGGCTGACGAGCCCGGTGCATCTGAAGGGTGTTCCTTCTGCTCCCGAAGGGACACAAACGGGGGTGACCGCGGCTTCCAGAACCCTGTCTGGTTTTTCCGCGTCTGGACTGTGGTCTGTGGTTATGGGATTCCTGTGAGATGTGAGCCGGAAGCCCGTTGGGCTGCTGTTCCTGGGGGGTGGTGCTCCCCTCGCCTGTCCGTCCCGGCCCCGCGGGGTCTGCCACCTTGAGGCTGTGTTCCCAACATGTGGGCCTGAACACGACCAAGGCCGGGAGCAGAGAGTCTCACCGGGCCCCCAAGCTGGGCTTCTGCAAGTTGGGGCCCGTCCGGCTGGGCACACGCCTCCCTCCAGGCCCCTGCGCCCCGCCTCCGAGCACGACTCCCCTCGGGCCTAGTAAATTCGCCCCAATCTCCCATGTGCAAACCGGGCAGAAAGTGACGTGAACGTGGAGGTTAACACTCCCCAAGCACGCGGTGACCCCAGCTTCTGGCTTGCTCTCCCGCCACATTTCTATCTGGTCCCAACCCAACGGGCTGAGGACATTCGCGTTAATAAACGCAAGCTGAAGTCCCTCCTCCGTGCACCTACCCCGTCCTCTCTGGGGACAGACACGCGTGCAGGCAGCGAGCGAGCTGAGAGCAGGTGTGGGGAGGTCCCCGGGTGCCGACTGCGGCCAGAGGTGTGGGAGGGAGGCCGGGATGTGGGTCAAGCACGGAAAGAGCCAGTCCGCTCGGCACGAGGGACAGGCGGCCTTTCCCCAAACCCGCAGCCGGGCCTCTGGGCGCTGCTGACTGTCCCCACCCTACCTGCTCTGGCCTCTGACACCTCCTCTCCTGCAGCTCCATTGTGCTCGTGGTGTCGAAGGGACGATACACGTCCAAGGGCCTGTGGACCAGAGTGCTGGAAAAGCTCGGCGCAGATAAGAGCCTCAGGTTGAAAGGTAAGCGATCCAGACCAGGGGTCTACACTGACCCTAAGTCCAGATGCCTGGTGTGGGGGCTGCTGCTACCTCTTGCCGAGACCACAGTGCTCCCCACCACACCCCAGGGTCCTCGACACTAGGCGGCCTTCTGGAACGTGTGGGCCGGGTGCCGCCCGTTCACCATCCCTACACGCCAGCAGCCTCCTCCCAACGTGTGAGCAGACACGGGAAGCCACTTCCTGAGTTGTTCGCCCGTCCGCTCAGCACGGGCCCCCTCCCCTTCTCGTTAAACCAAAGCATCAGCAGGAAAGTGGCTTGATCTGCCCCCGTCCCGGCTCCCGCTACAGGGACGGGCGGGGCTCTGCCTCGTCCTCCATGTTCCGGTGGGCTGGACACTCGTACGCCCACCGTAAGGGACGTAGGGAGGGACGGAGAAACGAAAGCCCGAGGCATCTCTACGGCTTGTCCGAGGTCCCTCGGTGCTTCTGCGGTGAAGCCCAGCATGACCCTCGTCACCGTCACCGCGGAGCCCAGGGGAGGCTGGGAGGGAGGCGGAACAAGCCCGCAGACACTAACGTCCGCTGGGGTCCACGCGTGGTGCCCGGCTGTGCACCTGCTGAGCTCGCCGCGACTGCCGCGCGTTCACGGGTCACGGTGCCGTTGCTTCCGTCTGGGATGGAACCAGACGCTTAAGTAACTTGCCCAAGATCAGAATTTGGATCCGAACGCTTCTAACCCAGAGCTCAGCTGCCACGCCATCCTGTGAGGAGCATCAAAGCTCGTGGCCCGTCACGTGGGACGTCAATTCCTAGCAGCTCCCACGGGAAAGCCCGGAGGCCCTGAAGGCCCTTCCCTCGAGCCAAAAGAGAGCCCCAAGAACAGAGAAGTATCTTCTCGGGCTCAATCCTGGACTCATCTTGGGGCCTCTGCCTTTTTAACTAAGACCCTGTTGCCAAAAGCTGACGTAGGTGAGGTGATCTAAGTGGGGTCTTCCCAGAGGTGGCACGTGTGTGCCGCCCGCCAGGCCGGGCCGGTCCCGAGTGTGGACAGAGAGCCCCACGCCCCTCCCTCGGTTAAGCTCCGAAAGCAAGGCAGGGCTCGCTGCATGGGGCCGGGGGCCTAGACGTCTAGTCTGGCTGCACCACTTACTCTGAACCCTTGGACGGAGTCCTTCCAAAGCCACGGCACGTTGGAGCCGGGAGAGGTCCTGTAGCTGAGCGTCATCCCTCGTGTGACTGGCTGACTGACAGGGGACGCTGGGCTTCAGAGAGGCGCAGGGACTCGCTGGCTAATGGGGGACGCTGGGCTTCAGAGAGGCACAGGGACTCGCTGGTGATCAGAGGCTCAGCCCAAAGGCGGCCGGGGCCCCGGGGGGGGCCTCCTGTGCAAAGCAGGGCCACCACCCCGCACGGCCGACCGGAGGCTCGGGTGAGACCCTGTGTGCCCCTCGCAAATGACGTCATCGGGCACAAAGCTACTCCCGGGGAGGCAGAGCCCGGGGCGGCTGGGAGAGGGCGCCTGGAAATGCCTGCAGGGAAGGGCGATGGGAGGCCTGGTGGGAGCCGCTCTCTTGGGGTTTCCGTTCATGTGACTCACCCCTGCTTTCCAGAGAAAATGGCGTTCGTTGGCTTCAAAGGGAGCTTCCGGCCCACCTGGGTGACTCTGGACACCGAGGACCACGGTGCCAAAATCTTCCAAGTGGTGCCCATCCCCGTGGTGAGGAAGAAGAAACTGTGAGGACGCCAGCCACCTCGTGTCGCTCCGCAGTGGACGGTGGACTCTTGGCCGCGGGCCAGGCGGGACAGCTGGCTCCCCCTGGGAAGGGCCGGGGGCAGCCCTAACGGGCGGGGGGGAGGGTATCAGAGACCCTGGCGCAGCCACCCACCCCCACTCCAGCGTCTCCCTGCGGCCCCCGGGGGGACAGCCGACCGTGCTGGAGACCTTCCTTCCTGCAGCCTCTCGGGTGCTTCTCTCCTACCTGTGCCTCTTCAGTGGGGGGGGCGCGGGGGCCACGCAAGGAGACCTGAGCTGCACTGGCGGCAGGAGCCCTGACCCAGCCGTTCACAGACCCTGCGCTCTCCAGCGCGCACGGCAGGCTGGTCGATATGGGGGAAAGGGAGCCGTGAGCAGACACCAACCTTCAAGGGTTCGGGAGCCGGCATGTACACGGAGCCGGCCAGCACGGGACCAGCTCCCCTCGGGGGACGGGCAAGCCCTGCCTCTGGAGGGTTCACCCGACCGTTCAGGAGGCCTCGGGTCCCGGGATGGGGGGGACGAGGTGACTTTTAGAGGCCCTCTGCGTTCTGAGACCACACTGCACGCAGAAGCCAGCAGCAGACGAGAGGGTGCCGTGTGGCTGGGCGCCCTGGGCCGTGAGGGCGGAGCTGCGGGAGGTCCGGCCTGGGGTCCAGGCTCGCAGGCTGCAGGACGGGCGGGCTCAGAAGAAGACCGGGCCAGGATCCCGCGTGCTCGGGTGGGTCAGGATGCGGCCTGCAGGAAGAGGAAGGGGGTGGGCACCTTGCAGGGCAGGCTCGGGCAGCCCCCCCCCCCCCGCCACCCAGTAGCTCGGAGATGCTCCCACCTGCTGAAGCTGCTGACCGCTGGGTCACCCTGTGCCTGCAGCTTGCTGGCCCATCCAGCAAGGCCACACGTGCGGGGGGGGTGGGGGGGGGCCGGGCCGAGGTGCCCAGAGCACTGAGCACCTCCTGGCCCCAGGGAGGGCTGGACCAAGTCGAGGGAAGTGAGCTCCTACCTGGCGCCTCATTTGTTCTTTATCCCGAGACCCGGGAGCATGCTCTCACTTCAGGAGCCCGAGGTTTCAGAGTCGGAGAGGACCTTAGGGTACGTCCAGTCCAAGACCCTCCTTTCACGGAGGGGGCGTGTGAGACCCCGAGATGGGTTAGAACCACGCGGCCAGGCCAGGGCCGGGCCGAGAGGCCCCCGCCCCGCACCTGCCGCCACACCACATTGCCTCAACAACCGGCCCCGGGCGCTGAACGGGGACGAGTTCCCTGAAAAAGTCATCAGAGTAGAGAGAATTGGCCGATGGCTGTTTCCCTCCAGGCCCACTGCCCGCCCCGCGGGTTGGGGCGGCCCTGCGGCCCCCGCTTGTCCTGGTGGCCACGGCCGTCCCGCTGGTGCTACCCGAGTGCAGGAGCACAGGTGCGGCCCAGGGCACAGTGGCGGGCTTGCGTCAACGCTTTGGGTGAGCCGGCTCGGCTGCTGGGGTCGGGGGCTCGCAGCTACCCGCTGACCCCTGAGCTGTCTGCCTCGCCCACCCTCCGCCCTGCAGGGAGCTCAGAGAGCTCCTGAGGGAGGGGACCCCTTCTGGGGTTCACACTCTCCCGGGGGGCCCCAGGGTCACGCCGAGCTGCATCTCCCCCTTTCCTGCGCCAACCACACACTCTTCGCAACTCATATTTTGAAGACGGCCTTCTCTGCCCCCTCTGCAGCCGCGGCCCTCGGGAGGGGTCCCCTCCCCAGGCTGAGCCGACTGCCAGAGCGGTTTCCCGGAGCACGGTCCGTCCAGCTGCTGGGAGGCGAAGGTGGGACACGGCAGGGGCCGTGCTCCTGGGAGAAACCTCTTCCACGCAAATTCCCGGCGACGGGTGGGGAGGGGAGTCGTGACCTCATGTCCCCATCTGCAGTTCTGTTGAGTTTTTACGCGAGGGTCTCACACTGTGAACCAGCTAGGGTGGGGTCGCTTCCGGTGGCCGGGAGTGTGGACAGTCTTTGGTTCGGTTGGTTTCAGACAGCGTATCTGTTTGAAAATGCTCAGAGTTGTACACACGCCCAGCAGCTCAGGGTCCGTGCGCGCACTCTCCCTCCGACGCCGGCCAGCAAGAGCCAGGGGCCCGGCGTGCTCTTGGCGGCACACGTTTTCTCACCGCCTGGAAAATCGCTCCCACGGTTCTGTCTGTCGGCGTCCAAATGAGTTAGGCCCTCTGGGGCGAGCCCCACTCCCCTGAAATGCCGGTCTCTTTCCTGTTGCCGAAACGGCTGGTCCTTTTTCGGGAATTAGATGTTTTGTTCGTAAACGTTTCTCATAGGTGTTGCCACGAACAAAGATGTGTTTTCTATTTATTTATTATGTATGCACTTGGAGAAGTCGTCGTGGGAGAAATGGATGGTCCTAAATGTCACGTTCGGGGATGTCCTTTGGACCACGTACCCAGAACCTTCTGCTGGTGGCAGAGGGCACTGGCTGTGGTTTGGAAAACCTTGTACCATAGTAAACATACAAAGGATCTCAGCCTCCCGCCTCCTGCTTCTGTTTTCCATTAAAGGGGGCCTCGTTTTAAGCCAGATATTTAAGCAAAAATGAGACCGATGAAATCCCACCCGCCCCCCCAGTCTGCCTCTCTGTCACTTCCAAGAATTATTCATATGTTAATGCCCTACCTTGTCCTGCTCTCCGGGGCGCCCACAAGAGCCGGTGCAGCTGGTCCTGTGGGAGAAGAGGCATTCGTTCATGTGACCGGCCATGCCCAAGACGCGCCCTGCCCTCCTCACTCCCAAGCCATCAGTAAGCCCTCAGGGCAGCACTGTCCCCCGGGGGAAAGCCAGGAGGGGCCAACAGGGCCTTGGCTGGAAGCAGGACTGTCTCCTCCTTCTGGAGGCCACGCACAGTGTCTGAGAACAGCGTAGAAGTGGGGGGTGGGGAGGTAGGTCCAAACCAAGCTGTCAGGCAAGAGTGGCAGAGGCAGGCTAGAGCGGTCCCCTCGGCCACGCTGGGAGGGGCCCACAGGATCGGGGGGGAGAAGGTGAGACGCAGAGCCTAGAACGGGAAGACCGGGGAGTGTTCTAGAACTGCACTGCCCGGCTGGCAGCCACTAGCCATGCGTGGCTAAATTCGAGTTAATTACAAGTTAAATACAATCAAAAGTTCAGTTCCTCCAGCCCACGTGGCTAGTGGTGGCCATCCCGGATGGGGCAGGTCTAGCACACGCTCCCATCAGCGGGCGCCTGGCGGCTCAGGCGGTGAGCGTCCGACTCTTGACTCCTGATTTCAGCTCAGGTCACGATCTCACGGGTCGCGGGTTCGAGCCCCGCATTGAACTCCGCGATACAGCGCGGAGCCTGCTTGGGATCCTCCCTCCCCCTCTCTGCCCCTCCCCATTTGTTCTCTCTCTGTGTCTCTCAGAATAAATTAAAACGTAAAAAATAAATAAAACATTTCCATCACCACAGAGAACTCTTCTCTTGGTGGCTTCTAGAGGGCTCTCAGGGCTCAGTGTGTGTGTGCGTGCGCACTCAGTCCACCGAAACGGGTTGGCATCGGGCTGTGGTATCGAGGTGCCAGTGAACGAGTCCGGTGGACCAGCTCGGACACCCGTGTTGGTGGGCCGGGGACAAATCCGACACCCCGCCCTGGAGGAACGTCGCCTGGAGGCATCACATTTGAACACTCATCCAGTAAATGTCTGAGCACCTGCTGGGTGCCAGGCACGGCAGGCACACAGGGGACACAAAAGACCCCCATGGAGGACAGGTGTCAGGGCTCCGGGGACAGGGACGAACCGTCCTCACCTGCAGCGGTCGGGGATCAGTAGGGGCTGGAGGCGCCCGGAAGTCAGGGGCGGGCGAGGCACGGCCCGGCACAAGGGAAGTGAGCAGAGGTGCGGGCTTGAGGGTGGAACAGCGTGCGGGGGGCAACGTGGGGGAGCCGGTTCACCACTTGGACACCCGCACACGTGCTGCTTCAGCGACGCGGGAACGGCCCCCGTGGGAGGGCTGGGACGGAGACCCTGGGCGGCTAAGGAGCGGGAGGGCGGGCTCAGGGACCCTTCAACAGTCACTGATGCCCACAGGGAAGTCCCCATACGAGAGCTTGGGCCCCAAGCCCCGCGCCTGCTGACAGGCCAGCCTGGAGGGGAGAGGCGGGAGGGGCTTCTGCGGAAGGAGCAGGAAGTAACGAGGAAGGGCAGGAGGGCGGTCCTGATGAGGGAACAGCGCTTGCGGGGACTGGCGGAGGAGACACCGTAGGAAGTGGTGGGGGCGGGCTGTTCCACAGACTGGAGGGAAGAAGGGACGGGCGTCCACGCAGAGATACCCAGTGGTGGCCTCGAGGGGTCAGAGTTCATAGCATCTGCTCCAAACGCAGGGGCATGGAGTCTGCAGCAACAGTCCCTGTATCCACGTGACAGACGCGGCTGGGTGTGCAGGCTGACCCCCACCTAGGGTCCTGTCTGCATCTCTGGCCCCATCACCCACTGCTGCTTCCCGGGCCCCAGGCACACAGGAATCTCATCACGTCTCGCCCACCCAAAGCACTTAGTGTCCCCGCAGTGTGACATGTGACCCGTTCCCTGTAGCAGGCACACCCTTCCCTCCTCCTTCTCCACTCGCCGCGTGCCTGCCCTACTCTCTCCAAGGCTGAGTTCCACGCGAAGGCGTCTCTGACCCACCCCTGGCCCCGTGGACCTTCCTCCTTCCTTCCCCGGGGCCCAGGGCCCCGAGCCACCACAGCCCACACCCTGCCACCAGAGGCCACTCGCCCCTTCCGCCAGCCTCCCTCAGGGCGGGCCATCTGACTTCCCACGTGGGGCAGAGTTGTGCTCTATAAACGTTTCATCGAGGGGCGCCTGGTGGCTCAGTTGGTTGAGCATCTGACTCTTGGTTTTGGCTCAGGTCATGATCTCACGTTTGTGAGATCGAGCCCCAGGTGGGGCTCTGCACGGAGTATGGAACCTGCCTGTGATTCTCTTTTTCTCTCCACCCCCCGCCCCTGCTCACAC